GGGAAAATCTGTGTCAATTACAGACATTCTGTTCACGTGAGCAGCTGTCAGTCAGCACCTGTCCTCCAGACACACGACGGAGCGTCTGAACCAATCACTTTTGTTGACATTGATCAGCTGACTGATTTAAATACATCTTAACATTCATGAGGTACTTTACATTGACTGTTTATGGTTGAGTGTGGGTGTGTAGAGGGTAGAATCTGAGGCGGGACCTCGCAAACTCTGCGCAAACTCTGACGTGCGGCTGTGATTTATAAAGGAAAGATGCGCAGAAACATGCTTACACACGGTTTTATAAATCTGTATTTTTTTTTTTTTTTTTTTGGCGTACGCCATTTCTGCCTTTTGGCCGTATGTTCACTTTTAGTATGGTTTCCACGCAATCCTTTAACTGAGCTGAAATCATCCTCCTTCAGTGATCATCAGCTGTGTGCTCAGGTGTTTCCATGACCGGCTTGTGCATTTGTTTATTTCTTAACACTAACATGGCCTAAACAAAAACATATATAACCACTGTATTCTACAACAGTAATTACCCCTTAATAGCACTTAAGATCATAATAGTGAATGTTGAACGTTAATGATAGTAAAGATACACAAGCTGATGATAAAAAACAGCTTGAAATCACTGTTTTAAAACATTAAAACTTTCTTCTGAGTAAGAGTTACTTTAAGGCAGATGAGACATCCAGTTCAAAGAACTGAGAGTTAAAGAAAATTAAAGCTACAAAATGTTAAAGAAATATACGATGAAGTGAAGCCATCAGTGCAGCTGACAGTTTGCTCTCAGTTTGTCTCTGAACCAAGTCCAAAATTAAGTTAAGGAACTTTACTAGCATCACCTATGGTGGGTTACAAAATGACTCAAACTACAGATTCTCAATATAATTGAGATCTGCACTTTGACCAGGTCATTCCTGGATACTTACCTGTTTCTGCTGAAACCAGCTGAGACGTGTTACCACTGTGGCTTTAGTCTCATTGTCCTGCTACCACGGTCTCAAACCTGTAGACAACTCAGTATGGTTTCTGATAATATTTTATTTATTTCAAATTTGGCCCTGCTGATGAAAAACATCCCCACAGTATGATGCTTCCAGCACCATGCTTCACCATGAGGATGCTGTTCTTTTGACAAAGTTCAGTGTTGTTGTCTTTAGATTAAATTCATGTCGAGATGTATGGATTGTCTATAAATTACACAGATTTCCCCCCCATTTTGCATGTATATAGATGTATAGAAAAAAACAGAGATGTTTTCAAAAACTTTGCTCTAAATTTGTTTAAGTCTCAGAGCAGGCAGTCCGTGTGGAAATAAGGAAATGCTAAGTTTGTCATCTCCTTGTCCTCCCTCCCTGCAGAGGAGCAGGGAGGGAGGACAAGGAGATGGCAGGGAGGTCATGTTGGGCAATGTCTTCTGTCAAACTAGGCAGAATAAACTTCAATATAAAAAATGATAACCAACAAGTTGGGGTTTCTTTAAACTTTCCTAACCTGAACCATTTCTATTGACAACTCATGCAAAGGATAGAACGGTTAAAAAAAGCTGTTAACTGTTTGTTGGCTGACAGGATTACCTGCCTGTCACTGGAAGACAAGCAGGTTTGTGATGTCAGCAGTAAGGCCTTGTTGCATGCATCTGTGACATTTCCACTGGAATACAACAGAAAAAGACTAACAATTCAAGGCGCTTGCTTAAGCTGCCATCATTTGTTTTTTTTTTTTTGTTTTGCAAAAGTTAAGCCAATTCTTATGTTCAGTTTCTTTGTCCTCAGGAAGGAATCAGATGTGACCCAACATCTCGAGAATCAAGAGGAACAGCAGAATATCCACCCTGCTGAGGTTATGTTGCCTTTAAACACAGAGTTTCTCTGCTTACTGCACCAAACTACAAATCTTATCATCCGCAGTGGCACAGCTCCATAAATCTTTATTATTTGCACTAATTTATCTGCTCACAGTACATAATCTGAAGCATAATGTCTCTCATCACATCTTGTTACAAGCAGTAAATGTTATATTACCAAGTGTTTCTCTCACTGCCTGTTATTGTACCCCAAGGAGAGGAATAAATAAGAGAGCTGTTGTTTTTCTACCCTTCACTGGCCTGCCCAAGAGGCCTCTTCACTTTCCATCATCCATCATCTGTTGCCGTCTTTTGTCAGCCCAGCGGTGCCGTCTTTTACCACTAGAATAAAAATAAAAGGCAAATTGCAGAGAGAAAAACATCCTGACGAGGATTCACTAGAAACAAGTCATAATGCTCTTGCAGTATGCTGACACTGTGTTGGTCATGTCTGGCTCTTGCGACAGTGTGTGTGTGTGCACGATTTAAAGGTGCATTAAAGTCACGACTTTGGCTTCTGAAGGATAAACTCCAAACACAAGCATCAAAGTGACAGAATGGTTCGTCAGACCTTTTAGGATAACAGGAGTATGCTCTCATGTCATTGTTCTTTACTGGAAAAACAAAAACACCAAAAATCAATTCTGACAAATAATGGACAAGGGTTGATTAGAAATTCACACAAAACTAGCTGTTTTCAAGCTCCAACAACACTGTCCAAGAATCACAATTTACTATTGAATTATTGATTTTACTGAAGCAAAATAGAAAAAAGGAAGACAGACTGGAATGTGTGTCCATTTTTACTATTTGGATTGTAGAAAATTTTGACCAAACAATGATCATTTTTTAGAAAAAGAAAACTTTATAAAGACACCTGAACCTGTAGGGGTACAACCCTGCAAAAACACAAAACAAGTGCCAACCCACCTTTAACAGGGACATTAGGGGTGACCAAGAAATGTAGGGTATCATTGTGAAGGTTTGTTCAGTTGAAGACAGAAAGGGTAAGTGTGCCCAGTAATTCAGCAGGTGAACACTATTAAAGATGATTTGGTGAGGCAGAACTTCATCTGT